CCTCACCGCTCCCTCCCTCGCCGCTCCCTCCCTCACCGCTCCCGCTCCCTCCCTCACCGCCCCTCCCGCACCGCTCCCTCCCTCACCGCTCCCTCCCTCACCGCTCCCGCTCCCTCCCTCACCGCTCCCTCCCTCACCGCTCCCTCCCTCACCGCCCCTCCCGCACCGCTCCCTCCCTCACCGCTCCCGCTCCCTCCCTCACCGCTCCCTCCCTCACCGCTCCCTCCCTCACCGCCCCCTCCCTCACCGCTCCCTCTCTCACCGCCCCCTCCCTCACCGCTCCCTCCCTCACCGCTCCCTCCCTCACCGCTCCCTCCCTCACCGCTCCCGCTCCCTCCCTCACCGCCCCTCCCGCACCGCTCACTCCCTCACCGCTCCCTCCCTCACCGTTCCACCAGTTCCCCAGGAACATGTGCGCTCCAAACGCGGCCAGGGGTAGCGCCATCGCGCCGGCAGTCGGTGCCTTGGTGCAAACCAGCCACAATGCCACCTGTTGCCGTGGTGGACAGCAGTCGGGTAAGACCGCCTTTTATGAGCAGGTGACCTATGCAACAGACTGAAATTCATGCTTAGCGCAGGACTCCTTAAAAATCCATGCTGCACTTCTGACCAGGAATAGCCTCTGTCATGGCATATAGACGACCTCAGAAGCATCAAAAATTCCCGGACTGACATATAACCCAGGAATGTCGAAGATGCAGGTAAATGAAGCGAAGGGACGGAAAGAGAGGAGGGGGTAGCTGGCTAGCTGATATCACAGCTGTCGGAAGCAACGTGGTTGCGGTTGTTCCAGGTACTTACTGATTGCATAAGTTTGAGTGGTATCCAAACCATAGGGAAGACGTAATTTGGAGGCGTCCAGCTGCGGGCCACGGAGCGGAGCACGGCGGTTAAGAGCGGTTAAGAGCACAGCTTTACAAGCGCTCCCTAAATGTTACGCCAGGATCCTGTGCTATGCATGCAACTTACTTTGGCTTCCTCAGGGACTTATACCAGGAAGGATCAAAAGTTGGCACCAGTCGCTGCACTCCGAAGACGACCGCTGTGCTTCCCAGTAGGCCAGCAATTTTGACAGCTGCCGGCCTGTGAATCAGAGTATTGAAATATGCAAGATCATCACTTTAGCTTCATATGTGTCCTGAGCTTGCTAGTATGCACCGTCAAGCCACGTTAACGTATTTCCGTTTCGCGATTGCGCGTACCCCGTGAGAAGCTCCAAAAGACCGTGGGATCCCATCTTGATGATAAAAAATAATAAAGATCGTCTTGCTCAGCGGCGCGAAGTAGGTCTTTTCCTTCCATGTGTGTACGGGATCGCGCACAGCTAGCGACGATTGGGAACCATGCTAAATTCTTGTGCTTTTTCACGACTTTGGAGACTGATGACCTGTGGGAAAGTAGTGTAAGAGCCGCTAGACAAGCACATACAAGAGAGGGGACAAAGGGATGATAACTGAAGGGACACCGAGCCGATGTTGCCATGCATGCATGTAGGCGCGCCAATGTCTCCCACCTAGGGCTCCACCCTCAATCCCCACCTTAATCTTGGCGCGCCTAATCCACCTCGGAATCACTATCCGATGTCTTCCTCTCACCTTGCCGTAGACGGCGGGTGAGGTGGAGGCAACGCAGCTCGTTCAGGGGCGTGCCATACTGGAAGGCATGCTGTAGAACTCCCTGACGGAAGCTATAGCTCATTTCGCCCCCCCCCTGGTTGAGGGTGCGTGGATGGGACTTGAGCCGAAACTCCAGTGCCTCGGTGGTGAGCGGAGCTTCCCTGAAACGGCGCCCATCAGATTGCAGGGGGCTGCAAAGATAGCTGGTCACGGGGATGCTGTCCTTGGAGCACGCGGTGAGGTGCAACGAGAGGGCACTGAGGGTGGAGGCCGCAGCATCGGTGGACCCCATGATTAGTCGAGCCGGTGCACGAACTCCACAATACCTTTTAGCGCCGAGTCAAGCAATCTGAAAGGTGCAGGTGGTGGGTACCCGACCATCGGCAGCAGGGAAAGGGGTAGTGGGAAGCCCCAGGGAAAGGGGTGCGGCCCGGAGATCGTCCAGTCGCAGCTCCCCACCGTTGTGGCCACGCACACAGTAATACTCCAAAGGAAGCCGAAGACGCACAAGTCACGCAGCAGGCGTAGGCGTGAAGTGGGACTCGGAGTGACAGCAGCAGTCCGGCGCAGATGACGGCGCAGATGGAGGAATTTTGATACGCATCAAAATCAGAGGTACCGCGCCGCGTTCCGTGTGTGCCCCTGCCGAGCGAGAGCCTGGCGGCACCCCAAATGCAATATCCGTGGACCGGTAGGCTCGCACAAGGGTTGCCAGTGCATGTAGTCGGATTGCAGGGACCCCGCCGACCCAGCAGGTTGATCCAGCCGTTGACAAGGGTTCGGAAGGGCTCTCATGAAGAGAGGTGGGGCACTGGTAGGCGACCTGGTCGAATTCTCCCCGGGTGGGCGTCTTTCCACTGTTCCTCGAAGAAAATTTAAAAAAAGGGCATTAGGTTCCCAATTCAAGAGGTTCGTTGAAGGACGGTGCTGGACGCACTCAACACGTAACTCGCTGGACTGAATCTTCTGCTCTTTTGCCAGGTGTGTGCTGTTTCCGTAGGGGAAATGCCTTGGCGGGTGAGGGTGCGTTTGGTGGGCTCGGTTGCGGTGGTTCCTGGTGATTCTTTTGGCATAGCTCTCTGCTCTGTACAGGGCATATGACCTTGGGGTAGGGTTTAATAACAGTCCGCTGCAGCGCCCATACGGCCAAGTGACTGCCAAGGTCGCTCCAAGCTTGGAAATATTCCAGCGCATAAGATTCTGTAACTAATTTCAACTTCCTGTCACCTCCTCCCTTGCGAAACCAATTCTACTCAACCGTGGCACCCGTACCACCCCTCCAACTGCCCTCACCGTACCCAGTACTTCTGAAAATGTCATGTACGTTTGCGTACGTCGATGTACGTCAGTGTGTCGTCGTGATGTAACGCGTATGTGGCGAGTGCTTACTAATGGCAACGTGCTGCAGGATGCCTTTGCATGTCTGAACCTGCACGCTTTGTCTTTGACCAACACTAAGCTCCAATGTGGTAAGCATCTGCATTTCTCCACGTTATGGTAGCTGTAGGCTGGCGTTGACTTATCGACATTTAAGTTTGGAGAAGAGGCCCAAATGATACATCAAGCAGCAGGCAGGGCTTATGGGGGCCAGGGTCCATCATACGGTTTTGAGGTTCCTGTAAGGAAAGTGGCTAGGGCAGCTGGAACACCTGAAAACACTCTCTCAGCGTATGGGGAAAACCATGCAAACCCAAATCAGTTGAAGGGGGGGCCCCTGAATTGCCACTAATTGCCCATTAATGCGTCAGGTTAGGCCGCTTAAATTCGCCAGGGGTGGCGATTGTAAGGTACTACGCGTACCCCACTCGTCTCAGGGTTTCAGCGGGGTCTTCCCCTGGCATGGCGAGCCAAGCCTACGGTCACGTTACAATGGTTGCAACGCCGCTGTACCTAGTCCGAGCGTTAGTCACGCGAGCCGGCAGCCCGGCACCCTGTACTGACTCCCTGTAACCTTACAGAGCAAAGGAAGCGAAGCCGAGAAGGATGCAGTAGTTTTGCATCCATCCAGCAAATGTTTGCAGAGGCCTCGTCGACGTACGGCGTGCGCTTGGCAGCATGCGGTGAGCGAAGCACCTGCCGAATGGCTTGTAATCTTCGGCATGTTACTGCGAATGTCAACTTGTTAGTTTCGCCATTATTATGTCCGCGTTAGGCACCTTGTGGCCCGCCACCCTCGCTTTACTATCTGGTGGCTCTCTTGCTGTTGAGCACATCTCTTGCTATCATGGCTTTTAATGAACTTCCGAAGTTGTGTTGAGCACGCGGGCCTGGACGTGGGCCGCGGACAGAAACATTATGGAGGAAGACCTGGCGACGCTGCGGAAGAAGGATAAGAGTATCACGTGGCAACCATACCTTTCAAACGAGGCAAAGCAAGATATCTCTGAGATTTACGACAGGCTGGATGTCGAACGAAAGGGTGAGAGGAGTCGGCTTAACCTTTCGCTAGATAGCCTGCGAGCGAATTCGGTGGCATATCTAACCAATTCTTCAAGGCGAATACGCTTCGCACTTGAATGCTGGAACTGGTGGATGACTGCTGAGTGCTGGGCTTCACAGCATGAGTTTTTCCGCGTAACAGGTTACATAACGCGACAGGAGCTTCATGCAGCCCTGAGCGACGCTTATGGGAAACCCATTAGGTAAGTATGCTGAAAGGGTTCCTGTGAGGTGTCGACGATGGTTTTCGCCTTCTGTAAGTGAAAGAGCAAGCTTGCGGAAGGCGCGATAGCTACGTTTGTCACATGCCCCGACAGCAGCGAGCATGTGAAGTGTGAACCATAGCCGACTGCTTTACGCGCATGTCATGGCGTCTACTGTTCACACTACCCGTCTAGCTGCGTACTTGTCTTACCTCCCTAATTATGAACATAACACACCCGGGGTTCCTCAGGTTATATGACCAGCGTTCACCATTTCACGATATCACATTACCTCAACAGAAACACCACGCATGGTCGCTGGGACGTTGATATGCGCTGTAGGACCGAGACTGTCCGCATGATTGCCGCGCGCATGGACATAAGCGCTCGACATGGTCTCAAAATTTCATACAACGACTTCCTGGAATATATGGCGCAAAAGCTGCTAGCCGTGGAATCGTACGATGACTTGATGCGTTCCGAGCAAGGGCTACTAATGCGAGAAACGGTACGTGGGTCTGTGCAACGACCGGATACGGCATATGCAGTTGGGTTTGCACAGGTGCCCGGGGTTGGGTATGGTTGTGGGGCCCTGCTGGCATCGACGTGATTGTAACGGCGTCTGACAGCTCTCTCTGGAGAAAACGGCGAGAGTTGGGGAAGCCAGGAGTCCGACACGCATGCGCACACAGGATATGTGCACAAATCCCCGCGTACTTCCTCCTTCCAGATTTGGCAAGGAACTCAGGAAGAGTGAAGGGAGATATATACTCATGACTGTAATAGTGGTTTTCGTTGCGTTTGTTCTTTGGTAGAATCGTGCCAAATACCATGTCAAACCAGGGACTTTGATCAACCGTGTCAGGGTCCGCAACCATACGACCGTCTTTCGCGATGAACAGCGGACGGCAAGGACGACCAGCTTCGCATTGTACACACGGCACACACAGGGTGTGTGCTTGGGGTGCGAGAACTCGTCCATCTCGCACAACAGCAGGATGGGGGTGTATTCCTCAGTCTTGCCCCGAAGACGAAGCACATTGGGCCTTGGCGAATGTCGGTGCTCGTCCATTTGAAACCTCGTCCACACGATAGCAGAGGGAGCGGCGTACCCTGCGCGCGTACCGGAGAGAGCGAGGGCGATAGAGGAAAAAGAGCCGTGGCTTGCCAACGGTACACATAAGGAGGACTGCGCGCCTTGGTCCTCCTTATGTGTATCCCTGGCTTGCCAACGGTACACGGTACATAGGTGGATGATGTATCGCACACGACATATGGGCGCTTGTCTACTGATTCCAGATAACGTGTAGCAGCACATGTGGCGTCGATGACCTCTGAAAGACGATAACTTTAGTCCAGCCTCCGACATGCGTTTCTTGCAAGAGGCCATATCAACACACCTTGCTCTTACATTCTCCGCTTTTAATTTATGGGCCGGCCTGGGGACCCAACTACGTAGGCTGTTGCCGTACCGGATCAATCTTTGAAGATACTGTAGCAAACTGGTATTGAGTTTCTGTTTATAACCTCCGTTTACTTCAGGGGTACAAGGTGTATGAATTGCTCGAGATATTTAAGAGGAAGGAAATGCTGAAGGACGCCATGGCGGTGAGCTGGTCGCAATTGCGGTTGCGTTGTTGGGAGGCGGACCCCGTTTCCATTACGTCTAAGCTTCTTGACTTTCTGATTTCACATTAGTCTTTGCAATTCCACCGACGTCTCTTTGCACTTGCCTTGTAGCCATTCCGCGGCATTCGTCATGCATGACGCAGCTTATCCAATCCAGAGAAACGGCAAAGGGAGCTCCTTCGCTGTGTACTAGTACTGCCCTAAACTGCGTAATGATCTCGCTTTTGTGGTGTCGCGTTTTTCATAACTCCACACGGCACCTCTACCGGAGGTACGGTAGTTGGCCGGAAGTGCCGGAAACATGCATGCCTTTCACTCTCCTCCCATAGCACGCCGTCCAGCACGCAAGATCCGCTTGAAACCATCGACCTTCTCAAATACCTTTACAAATCCGCTGCCGCTGTAATGCTGCTGCCAGGGCGGGGAAGGGATACAGAGGTTGCTGCACCTCACGACGATTCCCATGACGCAGCGCAATCGGCGAAAGGGCCATCCGGGAACCGACAATGGCGAGGCCGCCGCTGCCAACAACATAACCAAAAGGAAAGGCGGGCGTCCGTCGTCGTCGTCACAGCGTGCCGCCGCCGGCAGCGGTGTCGCGGACGGTGGCTCCACCTCACGGTCCTTTGCCGATGTGGGTTTCACTTCTCGCAGCAGCAGTACCGCAGTCCCACGCCGCCGCGCCAGCGGATGTAGCGCCATCGTGGATAACATGTCGTCGCCTTCACCGACAGCACAAGCGGCGTCGCCAGCAGCATCAGCAGCAACCCCACGCGGCTCGGCGACCAACGCACGAACCAGCAGCCATCCGCGGCACAGCCGGCGGCAAGGTCGGCGCTCCGCCCCCGCGGTCCGGGCGTCATCTGCCCTGGCGTCGCTGCTGAGCCGCGCCGAGGGCCAGGAGGGGGACCTGGCTGTGGGCCCTACCTCAGAGAACTGGGGCTCGACGCAAAGGTGGCGAAAAAGCACGAGTTACTTGGCCGAGGAGATGCATTTGGCCACGGGGCTCACGGGTGAGGCGGCGCAAGCACCATTGCGAATGGCAGCGGACGGGCGAGAGGCTGCTATCGCACAGCCACCGGCTACCGGGCCGTTGGGCGCGAGATCCTTATCCGTGGGGTCGCGACCGGACAGCCCCAATGCCGGCTCAACGCGCGGTGAAGGCACTGCCTGGGTGCCGCAAAAGCAGCCGCAGCCCGTACCTGCATGTTCCACAAGCGCGCCGGTGACGTCCTGCGGAGGCTGCGCAGGGTCCGCAGCCACCACCACGTCTCTTGGCCGTGTGCCGTTGGCGTCGCCGACTGTGGGCATCCCAAGTCGCGTCTCCACTAGCCGAGTGCAGAGTCCAGCTGCGCTGAGTCCGCTGGCTATGGCCGTGAGCGCGCCGCTGCCGCTGCCGCTGCCGCTGCCGCTGCCGCTGCCGGCGGCGGGTGCGGCGGCGGCCTTGCCGCTGGGGGCCAAGGCCGAGGGCTGGCGCTCCGCCGCCCTCTTGGCGCAAGTCCTGGATGTTGAGCGCATCGATGTGCGTACTTTGGTGATGGAGGATCTTCGTGCCTCGACGGGACTGTCCTCGAGCCCGACGAGCCATTTGTGCGCTCAGCCGCTGCTGAGGCCGCAGCCACCACCGCCGGCACTGCGCCAATCGCATTCGGCGCAGGTGCAATACACGGTTACACAAATCCCATCAGGACCGCCGCCGCCGCCGACGCAACAATCTGCGCCGGTGCTTTTTCCGTCCCAGCATCCATTAACCTCACTAGCTCCATCGCAGCAGCCGCACACACGGAACACAAGTCAGCAGCAGCCACAGCAACAGCAGCAACAGCAGCAGCCACAGCAACAGCAGTGTCAGGGTGTGTCGGTGATCTCGCGCGCGTCGTCAACAACTCAGCCACGATCGAATACCGCTTTTTCTTCCCGTCTGTCTCCCGAAGGTGACGAGGAGCGGCATAGAAGTGGTGGCGTGCCCATGGGGGGGATTGTCACGGACGTAAACGGCCTGATTGGAGGTGGTGAAGTGTCGGCTGCCGAGTTGGCCAGCAGCTTGGGCCAGCATCATCATCATCATCATCATCACATGAAGCGGATTACATCACCCGGCTCGTCTTACTCTCACCCGCATGCATCGTCGCCATCGCCATCGCCACCGTCTTCGGCACCATTGCCTGTTCCTCCTCCTCCTCCTGCACAGCATCGGCCGGTGCAGGCGTCCTCGTCCCCTCAGCCGCGCCATCCGCACTTAACTACCCAGCTGCAGCCACAGTCGAGCACCCAGACAGATTCCAGGCGTCAGCATCCCGCAAGCAATGGAGGGAAACGCCATGAGGGCGACCCAATTGAACCATGGGTCACTACCGACCCCGACGGCGTCCTAGGGGTCTTGCTGCGTGGCAGCAAAAGCAGCGGCAGCCAGTCCCGCCATCGGCCGCGCTTCCAAGCGGCTTCGGCACCGGAGGCGCTTCGCTTCGAAGTGTCAGGTACGCCGGCGCACCCATGCCAGGTAGGGCCGCACCCGCTACCACATTTGCATGTGCGTGCCTCTGTTGGTTTACATCTGAGACGGTGATGTCAATATGCGTGACTAGTGTAATCTTCACAATTTACAATCAGCAATGCAAACAGCAACACGCGGGTGGGAGTTTGGTTTGTGTGGCGGTGCTGTAGCTTGATGAGGTTTTAGCTGCTGGGGGTTGGGGAACGGCGCCGCACATTGGAGCTGTCGCGCACACTTAACCTCCAAAAACGCCTCGTTATTGGTTGGCCCCTGCTCAGAGGGGCTTTATGTGGGCCCCTAGTAAAGCTCGTTTGCATGCCAGCAACTGCAACTGGAGGGGGAGGGAGGAGTCAATCAGGGGGGGTGGGGGTGGGAAACACCTGCTGGCGTAATGTTTTAGGCCATCTGTCCTCTAATTCTAATGGGCCTGCGGCTCTGAAGAGTAGGACACACGGTTGGCAGGAACGCTACAAGCGACCTTGAAATAATCATCTTGAAGCATGACCTGTTTGTGACCTGTTGTTGCTTCGACGCCTGGCGTTGCATGCACCGCCGGTGTCCTCCTTTTACCCACATTACCGTCGTATGGCCGCCGACGAGGATGATCCGAGGATTACATTTTAGGAGGGGGTTGAGTGGTGGCTGTCGTGCTAGCTCTTATCCCTAGCTGCTGCTTCCCGTCTTCATCTGCACTCTGCCGCCGACAACAACCAAACCGTCACAACCAACCAAACCTGGAAACGCAACCGCTGTCTTCCCCGTAGGACCCATCGAGCACGACCCCGTGCTTGCTAAGCTCCCGGACTGGGTTCGGAAGGGAATCGGGCTCCCTCCTTCACCCGTCGTGCGGGTTGTGGAACCTCAGCCTGACGCGCAATCCGTCTCCGTGGCGCCAGCGGTACCGCCCCTAGGCCCCCCAGGCCCCACAAGAGCGGCGGGGGGCAGCGGCAGTCATCCACTGCCCGCCGCCGGAATGGCGGCCGCCGCCGCGGCGGCCTCGGCAGCTACCTCCCGGCCGGATGTCCTCCTCGGTAGTCCCGCTAGCCGGCCAAGGTCGGGGGGCGGAAGCAGTGATGCAGCAAGGCAGGACGGTGAAGGCGGCAGCGGCAGCGGTGGCGGTGGAGGCGGCGGGGTTTCGGAGCCTGCTGGAACCAGAGGGAACGGGCGCGGGCACCGGCCGCCGGTGCTAAGCCGTGGCTTTAGCCTGTCACGGCAAAACACAGCGCGCTTCGTACCGTTTGGCGGGGACACGGGTGCGGTGGTTGCTGAGGAAGAGGCTGCGGAGGAAGGGGAAGAAGAAGACGGGGAGCGCGTGGTGCTGCCGGCTGCCGGGTTCTCACCAGTTGTCGCGTCGGAAGCACCGGAAGAGGAGCGACGACAACAGAACCACTTACACCATCACCAACACGCGCAGCAGCAGCAGCAGCAACTTGCAAATGGTGTCCTTCAAGAGCAACCAGCCAGTGTACGATTATTCGAGCCGCCGGTTCAAACTCCAGAACTAGGCGCCAGGTCAGTCAATGGCGAGACGGCCCTTGCCGGTGTCGACTACGCGCCGTTCGCACTGCCTATGGCGACGAGCGGAGGTCTTGTGCGCGCATCCCCGCTGGTAACGCCTGGACAAATGCCAATACGCCAGCACATGAGCACGTGGCCTGGCGAAACAGATGCGGCGGCAGCAGCGGCGGCAGCGGCAGCAGCGGGCGCGGAGGCGGTCCGGGCTGGCTGGCTGGCGGGTGGCGTGGAGGAGGCCAATGTACCGCAGACAGAATCCCTGGCGACTTGGGAGGAGTCTGTGCCTTCGTATCAGCCCAGCGGGCGTCATGGCGCGCTTGGCGATAGCGCGACGGCGGCTGGGAAAGGGGTGGCGCAGAAAGGGGTGGAGTTCGAGGTCGAGGACGTCGTTGCGGACCGCGGTAACGATGGGGATGGTGAAGACGAGGTCGCGGTTGCGCTTTATGAGCAGCTCCTTGGCAGCAGATCGAGTGGCTTCCCGCCCATGTCACTTCCCTTGCGGGGGGCGTTGAACGCTGTAGAGCGAGAGCGGGTGACAGCATCGGTGGGGTTGCACCAGCAGCACCAACACCAGCAGCACCAGCACCAGCAAAACCTGCTCTTGCATGCGCACTGGCAGGAGCAAGGTGCACAGCGGGCCGCTCTGTCTTCACAGTCGCCAGCAGCAGGCGAACCACAGCAGGCGAGCAGCAGCCCAAGGCCACTAACCGAAGGAATTGGGGAACGCGCCGGCAGCGAGCAGCCACCGCCCAGCTCGCCCACCTTACCCAACGCCGAGAATTTCGCTAAGGGACAGCAGCGGCAACACCTGCATCTGCAGCAGCAGCAACAACAGCAGCAGCAATGTGGGGACAGCCCCGAGGACGGCAGCTGCGACGCTGGCTGGTCACAAGACCCCAACGGGGCGCCCAGACCAAGCCGTGGCGACGGCAACAGCAATGACACCAACGACAGCGACAGTTCCGGGCCGAAGGGTCAGCGTCGGCATTCTCTACACGAGCCTCAGGCTAAGCCATCTCGGCCTCGTTTCCTCACGGGCGCGCGTCCAAGCTCCGCAGCTCTGGTGCCGTCGGCGTCGGCGGTAGTGGCGGCTGCGGAGGCGCAGGCACAGGCAGCAGCGGCAGCAACCATGCGCGTGAGCGAGGACGGCGTGCGCGTCTTGGGGCCCTGGGGGTCCCGGAATCTGTGGTCGGCGGACTACGTCTCTTTGTCCTTCGGCGACGGCGCAGCCGCAGGCCACCCGCCGTCAGTTCGGCTCAACCACACCGCCATGCTGCGCTTACAGACCAAGTACGGGTCTGAGCTGTTGGCGGCGGCGGGCGCAGCGTTGGGATTGGGGGGTAGCTCTGCCGCCGCCCGCGACATGGCGTCGAGGGAGCTACTGCAGGCTTTGGCCACGTACGGCAGTGGGCGAGCCGCTACCGCCACCGCTGCCGCTGCCCCACAGAGTCTTACCACGTCTATCATCACCGGCGCGCCGCGCTCTCCGTCGCCGCCGTCGTACAAGGTCTTTGATACCGCCGCGGTCGCCGCTACCAAAGGCACTACCGGCGCAGAAATGGCAGCCTGGTCCTCGGGACCGCTGTCGTCGGCATCACCGCCGCATGCGGTGATGCCGCAGCGCCGCCGCACCAGTTCCTCATCCGGCTCTACTAACCCTTACCGTAACGGCTCGCTGCAACGGAGCTCCAGCTCGGGCTCCGGAACCGGTCCTGTTATTCTGCCCCATGAAGCGGTGGGTTTGGGGCGTCAAGTCGTGCGCCGACTTAGCCAGCGGTCATCAGAGAGCGGCTGCGCGGCTGCGGATGCTGCGGCTGTGGGCAACAGCGGAGCTAGTGCCCATCGCCCTTCCTCAGCCCAGCCCCCCGGGCCTGGCACTGGGCCGGCGCGCCTTCCTCGCCCCGCTTCCGCCAGACCGCCTTGCAATCCCCTGGTCTCCAACCAGCTCCATTACCATCACAATCACCATCACCGTCAACGTGAACACAACGGGACGAACGGGATACGTGATGTCGCAGCGGGGCCCGTGAAGATGGAAACTGCGGAGCGGCGGCCAGATCCCCGCGTGATGGGCCCTGCGGCCGTGCCAGTGGTTCCAACGGTGGCTGTCGTTGTCCCTGTACGGCAAGCCGGCGGCGGCAACGGCCGCCGCCCCGCGTCCAGAGGCCTCACACCTGCCGCCACCGCCGCCGACAGCCGAAGCTTAGTTCGTACTTCCTCATCGGCGCTGGTGTCGTCGTTCTCTAGCCGTCCGCCGGTGCCCACCATAACCATTCCCCGAGTACGGCAATTAGACGACTCGGACGTTTTGTCGTGCTTCACGACCTTGTCGGCGGCGTGCAACGCCGTGACCGCCGCCGCCGCTGCGGCGGCAGAGGGCGACAGCAGCGGCAGCAGCAGCAGAGCCGGGCTTGCCCCCCCGCGCGACATCGCCAGGACATCGCGGCCGCCGTCGCCAGCACCCCGCCCGGCGTCGCCGGCGGCAGCGCCAGCAAGTTGCTCTTCAGCGCCGATTGCCGGCTCGGCGCCCGCACAAGCCCTGTCGTCCCCGTCACTCCCCCCGACTACAGCTCCCGGGCTCCCGGGAGCTCCAACGGGGGTTTCTGACGGGGGAGCTGCTGTTCCGGTGGGCTCGGGCGGGGGCAGCAGCGGGGGGAGCTCCGCGCAAAGCAGCTGGGGTTCTTCTTCAGCAGCAAGTCGATGTACGACAGAAGCTGCGGCGGAGGGTGCGAAGAGGGAGGAACGGCAGCGACGGCAGCTGGAGGTTAGGGGTATGGGGGCGTTGGTGCCGGTGGCGGTGAAGGTAGCGCACAAGGGCGGCGGCGGAGTTGTGGCGGCTGTGGGGGGTGCGACGGTGGGAGGGCCGGCGGCAGCGGCGGCTGTGGCGGCGGTAGCAGCCTCGGGTGGTGAGAAGGCGGTTGCTGCAACCTGCCGGGGATCTTCAGTTGGCTTCACACGTGCGCGGTGATGACTGTAAGGGAGCTGCTTTAACGCTGCCGGACAAGGGCGGAGCTGGGGATTTACGGGAGTGTAGTAGCTGGCACACAGTACGGCACACAGTACGGCACACATAACGTCTACAAATGCGCGCTAAGCACGTGCATCAGCATCTCGAGAGGCCTTTTCAGCGGCCAGCTACTACAGGGAGTGATTGCCTAGGACATGTACGGCATACCGTTATTACATGTATGGTGGTATGCCGTTGTTAAACATCGGGTTTGGGTGTCTTGCGCTGGACGGCATGCTCGTACGCGTCTCAACCGTTTTTTCTGTGCCACAGGGAGGAGTGTCCTTGGTGATTGTGTTGTTCATGGTAATGATGATAAGCTGGTGGTGATGTAAGTAAGAGTGCGCGCAGGAGCCGGTCCTCGCACCGCTGGTGGTGTTTTGGGCCCCGTCGAAATGTGTCCCAACATGTGGCCGAAGAGATCGTCATTGTTGTTTTTTCTGTTTTGTGAGAGCATTTATGCCGCAGGTTGACTTAGCAAGGTTGGATGAAACGGACCGGTTAACGCCACGTTGCTTGCTGTTGTTGGTCCCATGTCGGACTATTGCACAACTTTGTTTGTGTGTGGAGCTACCCAGCTCCTCCGTGCCATGGCAGCGCTAGGTTGCGCTGATGGAGCTGGTTGACTGGAGGTTACATTGCCTAAAATTGGATTGAATTGTGGGTTTGTCAAATTGCCCAAATTTGTGAATAATATACCGTTTCTTTCCATGGCGAAAAAAATTGTCAGTGCGTTTTGGCCATCAATAGGGCGAACTGGCATAAATCCGGTCCTAAGCACCACACACTGTTACGCGGAAATGGTTTCGTTGTTGTATATTACAGCATTGATTTTGTCGATAGCATACGAACATATGCCATGATGAATTTGTCAGGTCATGCTCTTCTACTGAGCCACCTTTGGGCAACCTCTCGGTAGTGGCTAATCGCCGACCCCCACATCATGTTTTTTTTGTGAAAAAGGGATGAAGGCCCAATTTCTTTTGATTGACCTTACTAGCAAGACATGTATGTACTACACAATAATAAAGCAGCGCTATTGAACCCTTCTACAGTTGTCGTTATTTATCTTTATCACGCTGACAAATCTGATGAAATGCCCTCTCGCAAACACGCGTGCAACCTGCTCGACTAGCGTCATATGAGCTTTATCAATGATCACGCCCCGGCCGGGGGTTGAAGCAACTATCTTGTGTAACGATCCTGTGTATCCTGCCCATCAATTAATATCCATCCTTCTTAAATATCAAAAAAAGCCGAAAGCTATCAGATTGGGAAAAACGTAGTTTTCCCGGAGCCAGAAAAACCAGCTAACCCAACTTTTTGATAGGCTTCAATTTTTACAGATTATTTTTGTAGTTGTTGTCCTGGTTTTGATAGTAGAAAGTGAACCCATAACTGTGTATTGAGTACTCTGATTTCCCTTGTGGCTGACACATACCCCGTGCCTGCGCCTGCTGTTCTTCCCTTGTCAGCGAGTATCCGTGGCCTCAGGAAGCGGCTCACCCTCTGCCTGCCTGCAATCACCTGTCCTCTGATCACCTCTGGATGCCCTGCTCATTGCGCTACCTGCTGCTTGCTTTGCAGTATACCCGCATATCCACGACGTTCCCTTGTCAATGCTTGGACGATAAAAGTTTAAATGAAAAAGATATTATGAAGGAGTTCATTCTAGGAAGAGGAAAATATTAGTATTAGGCTTTTTCGCTTTGATAAAAGGTCTGTGGTAAAAGGGGGAATGGTTGCTAGTTATATAAATTTAACCAGACGTCTTCAAACTACCAACAGAAGATCATTCAACACTCCCCGGCACGCGAAGAGTGTGTACTGTAGAAAGCGCACAGCGCAACCTGCGCCGCGGTTTTTCCCTTGTATTGCAACAGCACAAATGCACAGCTTTTACGCGTTACAGTTGTTGGAAAGGCCATTAGTCTTATCGTACAAATTATATAGTATATCGTACAGGGCCCTCCCCATACCGACCAACTGGGTCATCATCACAAACAACGCGGGGGAAAAGCGTAGAGGCCGCGTATGTAGACTTTTAGGAAAACTGGACGTCGACGATATAAAAGTTTTATTTACGACTACTGGCGCGGCAAGCAAGGTGCTCCCTAGCTACAGCCTTAACAGAATTTTGGCAGCGTAGCCGCGTCGCGCCTTCAACGCCAGAATGGCGATTTCATGCGATTCAGACAGATCGAGGAGTGCCATGTAGCGCTACAGAACGAAGCAGGAGTACCGAACCCACCGGCAGCAATCCACTTTCCACTTGGACTTGGATTGAGGGCGGCGGCAAACGAGCAAGGAGCACAACCAGCAACAATATAACAATAACAATAACAACAGCAACTGCAGCAGCAGCCATCCGCATATCCGATTAAATGATAGATCTAGGCTACAGATCTAGGCCATGCACGCAACGAATATACCGGTAATGCGGTCTTTTTCCTTTGTACTAAATACTGATACACAAAAGAGGAACGTAAATTGCAACAGCGCACAAACTAGACCAAAAGAAATGTTGTTCCATTTCAAACGTGCAACAAGCGAGCGTGCGAACACACAAAGTCGTATTCATAAACTCTCTACATACATACATACATGTACGGGCACGCAGATACCCGGGTGTTGATTGCCGGGTTGGTTCTTCTGCGTTTCCAAACACGACGCCGTATGAAATTTGAGTCCTCTCTGAAGTGCACATGTGCGTGCAATCTGCTGAGAAATGCGATATAATAATGACATGTGGTTAATGATGATGATGATGATGATATATTATGGTACAACTGCGGCCATTCGCCCGCTCTCACCTCACCGCAACGCTCAGCCCCTGCGTGCTCCTCGTCCTCATTATCACCCTCTCTCATCATTATCCTCATCTTCATCATCATCATCAACGCCCGTCTGGGTCACCAACACCTATCCGGCTACCCCCCCATACACACGGAAGGGCACGGGGAGCGGGGTGGACGTAGGGATAGATAACAACCCCCACTGACACACCTTCAAATACACATTCACGCACCTACACACAGACACACATACAGACACACCCAGAAATACTTCCAGTGCCGACACCCTTGTCGGTCGGTCGGTCTCTCTGCCGCTACTGCCAACCCTTTCCACCACCACCCCACGCCCTTCCCCTCCCTCCTTCCCCTCCCTTTTCTTTCAGATGCCATGTGCCGTCATTTACCATTACGTAATACCGTTCACACCGTCATCCCTCTCATACATACATACATACAGAGACACACACACACGCTCTCTCCAGCGTCACCACCACCATCGTAACGACAACCAACAACAACAACAACCATCAATCAACAAAGCGCCGCAACCACCATCAACAAGTAGCCACCACCAACCACTACCAACAACAACAACCCAAACAACAACCAATCAATCACCATCACCACAGCAACAAAAAGGTGACTGACTCCCCTGACTGAAGGAACATAGCGCCCACAACCACCACTGCCCTCCACCTCTCCCCCCCCACCACCTCCACCCGCTGCTAGGCGTCCAAATGGGAGTCCATCTGCAGCACCCTCACAGGCCGCGGAGCAGAGGGTATCCCACGAGTGATGCTGTCCAGGGCCGCCTGCGCCTTCAGGTCCGCCTCCGCCTCCGCCGCCTCGTCCAGCAGCCCGCTGGCGGCAGCCTCCTCCATGGCACGGCGGCGGCTGGCGAACACGTCGGCCACAGACTGGTGCACCCTGGGGTGTGTGGGGTTGGGTGTGTGTGCATGACGTGTGTACGTGAATATGTATGTATATATGTATGTATGCGTGTGTGTTTTATGCAAGCCCTTCCACCACCTCCCTCTCCCGCCGCACCGGGCTACTTCACTGGCCACGTAGATGGGCTTCCTCAGCTGCAGCGCCATGGACAGCGAGTCCCCGGGGGTCGCATCCACACTGCAGAGTGAGCCGTCCGGGCGGGAGAGTACGATACGGCTGCGGGGGGAAAGGGGGCGGGTGAGGAGGGGGTTAAAAACCCCGGGGGAATTCGGGGCATTCCCCGAACTGTCTTCAACCAACCCCCCACTCATCCCATTTCCACCACTCCACCACACACAGACATACACACACATACACGCCGGACGCAGGGCCTCTTCCCTCCCTCCCTCCATGCAATACCCCCCAAACGCGAACCCCCGCATGTCCCCTCTCCCTTCTTGCCGTACCAGTAATACACGCCATCCACCATGCGGTTTATGCAGACACGGCGTAGCTCTACCCCTGAGACCTGTGACGTACACACACACGCAGGTGGGGGAGCGGGGGGAGAGGAGCGGGGGGAAGAGGGGGGGAGAGGACGGTGCGGGCACGCTTTTGTGAGGTGCAGGAGGACGAGGAGGCGGCAGCGGAGGAGAGGGCGGCGGAGGAGAGGGACTCTGTTCGTAGCTCTCTTGCGCGGCGTCCTAGCGGGCGGGATGGTGATTAAAAAACGGGGGTGAAAAAACGCGTACCTGGGGGGATTGCGGGGTTTGGAGGGGTTTGTGTGTGTGGGGGGAAAGAGGTCAATTGAGGAGGTGGGCGCCACGTCAGCTGACAGCCCCCTATCTACATCTTTCCCCCACATGCAGCTGTCCCCCAGATGCGCAGCATTTGTGATTTCCCCAAACGGATAAAACGTCCAAGCGTGTGTATATATGTGTATGTATGTCCGTATAATTAATCCATGAAAGTCCCTTCTCCCCCTACCTCTCCCCCCCCAACCCGAACCACCACCATCCCCCCCTTGCCCCCACCATCAGCGACCGGGTCCAGGTCCCCAGCGTGGAGGGCCGCCGCTGCTCCAGGGAGCCCGTGGCGGCCACCAGGCTGAGCGCCTCAGGACCCGCCAGAGTCAGCTCCAGGGGGGTTTTGGATCCAGGGAGGACGAGCAGCACGTTGCCGCCGCCGGGGAAGATCTCGATCTCTCGGAGCTGTTTATGACGAGAGCGGTGTCGGGGGCGGTGTAGGCGTTACACTTGTTATTAGAGGGGGTGTTATGGACAGGCTAGAGTGGGGTCGGGGGGTCGGGGGTATTACGCAGATTCCAGGAGGAAAGCCCAGGTGGGTGTTTGTGTGTGATGACACAGCAAAAACACACACACACAGATATACACACACGACGACACACATACACAAGACACGACGCGCACACGTGACGCACCTGTGCAAGGCAATACTGCTGCTCTTCGTTGCCTAGACCGTCAAAGCCCTCAAAAAGGGGCGCCGGAACGACGCCGCCGTCGCTAGCGCTGCCTGCAGTCGCGCTGCGCACCGCCGTCGTTGGCGGCTGCGGCGGCGGCAGCTCCTCCAACCCCGGCGGAGGCGCCGCCGCAACGCCCGCTTCCGCTGCGGCGGCGCCGCCTCCAGTTCCGGACCCACGCGGCCCCAACTGCGGCCGTGACGTTGCCGCCTGGTAAGTGTACGACGTTGCCGGACGGCTGGTCGACGGCCCCGCCAGGGCTCCACCGGCGGCAGCTGCCGTACTCGGTGCCACCCGTACAATCTGCTGTCCTGCCGCCATCACATGTTCGGCGACAGTGGCGCCCGAGGTGCCGTCGACGAATCGCCAGGCGTGGGATTCGAACGTGAGCACCGTGAAAACGGAGCCGGGACTCAGTGATCCGAACAATTCCGCATCGCCATCATAGTTGAGCCTGGCGTGTAAGTGAGGCGCAGGGGGCGAAAAGGGAAGACACGGCATTGGTTTGCGCTGCTACAACAAAGGAGCTGGCCTCGTTCTGGTGAGGCACTGCCTTAGGAGCATTGTGGTGAGATAGCGAAGGAAGTATGATCGCTTTTGTTGCCGAGGGCAGTGGGTTAGAGAGAGCGGAGGAAGAGCGGAGGAAGAGCGGGTTTACAGTGTTTGTGTGTGTATGTGAGGTGTTTGTGTGTCTGTGTATGTGCGTGCGCGTGCATGCGTGTGTGTGTGTGCGTGCGTGTGTGTGTGTGTGTGTGTGTGTGGTGTGTGTGGGGTGTGTGTGTGTGTGTGTGCGTGTGTGTGTGTGTGTGTGTGCGAGAGAGAGAGAGAGAAAGATTCCTTTTCTCTCCCTCCACATATGCAGTCCAGCTTTGAGAATGGACAATCGATAACTTATCCACTTATTTTAAAATATACTTTCCGACCGTTCACAGGGGGACCTGTACACCAACTGCACATGTAGCTAGCTGGGTGTCGGTCCAACTTTACGGTCGACATGTAAACAGATCCATGTCCAGTCCATTATGTCCACTACGGCGTTTTGAGCAAAGAGAAATGCACAACTGGCCCTTACCTCAAAATATTATTTAATTTAAATTGCAACAAGCGATCCACTCCTATGAGCACCTTGACCGTTCTCAACCCCACGTCACCGCCACCACCCTCACCAGTACAGCTTTAACGGAACTTCCAGGTCGTTGAGTACCGTTAGTTCACTAGGTACGGACCAACCGAGAGAGCGGAGCGGCCGGGGGCGGGGGAGCACGAGGGTGCTCTCGGAAGCCAGGGCTTCCATAGCACCGCGGCCCCAGCCGCCCGGCAGCAGCACGCCAGCGCAGATGGGCAGGCTGAAAAGCGCGGCACGGCGCGACCACGATGGCGGCCCAGGAGGCACATCAAAAGTGGTACCGGTTGAAGATGAAGAGTATGTGTTGTTTGAAGGGTCTGTTGGTTGAGCAGGTGGTGACGTAACAACTGAAAAAGGCCGGGATGATGATGTTGCGGCGGTTGAGACGCGGAGCCGTAATGATGACAGCAGGTGATTTCGGTGGCAGCCTGGAATCCGATGCGGGCATCTGTAGGGCTGGTGCACGCGGCTAGAAGAGGACAGGTGGCGAAGACCTGTGGTTTCGTGTTGCATGAGGGCGGGAAACAGGCAAACAACGTGGACGATGTTACAGTTTAAAGCAGTTAGAGCAGCATGAATAGCGTTATCAGAAAGCTCATCTCGAGCCTTGTCGGATGGCCAAAGTGCGCACACGTCGCACAGACGCTGTACATGAAGTCAAAACAACGTTTCCAGCAAGGCGCAGTTCGTCACCCACCTTTCACAATAGTCATATTGTAACCTCCTCGCTGCTAAAATAGGTCCTCGACAGTGCACTTGGAAGGACCTAGGCGGGATGGGAAGGTAGGGTTTTCTGTCCTAAAGTTATGCCTTCGCCAAAAACAAGTCCACGATCGCGTCGTTGGAGTAGGGCATGCTTTAATAGTGCGGAAGAATGGGATGACGTTCCTGGTCACTACCGCGGATATTACGCTACTAGCGTAAGCTAATAGCCAAGAATTGCACACATATCTTGGGGCATTTCAATATTTGTACAAGTATAATAAAGAAATTTCTGCTAGGAAATGCAAATGTTGTTGGTGCGTCAGTAGGTGCAAGCCTTACAAATGTCGTAGCACATGGCGGGGGCGTCGACACAGCAACAAGGACCGAAGTTCTGCCAGTCGTTGCTCCTAATCTGCAGACTCTCTGCATGTTGCACGTACACAGCCGCGTCTGAGACAGCTGCTGCAGATGCACCAGTTACAGAACGATAACACTTTGTTCTAACGGTACAGCGGCGTTGGCGAGCGGCGTTCCACCCGCTATCATCTCAAAACATTGCTCTTAGAGCAGTCGTTCCCCACAACTTCGCATCGTTCACCAAGTCGGGGAACATCATGCTGTGCAGGTCGTCTATACGGGTCCACCACTATCATTCTCGACGTAACGCGCGTGCAAATAGCGAAGCTATTCTAGGAATAACGAACGTCGATGCATATGCCCGTTATTGCGGTTAGTGCATGGCCGCAGCCGCTCAGCGCAGCATAGCACTGCAAGGACCGCCAACGACACACGATGTAGACCAGATCGGGGGGGAAACCCTACTTGCACCTAGAAGCAAACAGGAGCTTATTCGCCAACTTTCCTTTGGAGGCCGTCCCCGGGCACACGGGCCCCATTCTGTTCTATCAATATTGTCACAGGAAAGCGAATTTTACTAATTTGCCCACTAACTCCTTGCCAGTGCAGAGCAAGCATGAGTTGAAGAAAGAGGTGAGCGAGTGAGACCAGTAAAATAAAACAACAGTAAAACAAATAAACAAATCCAAACCCGTGTACCAATGGCGAGGCCGCAAAGGGGCGCCCGCAACACCAGCAACTCATGCATATGTCCTTATTCCCTACGCCGTGTCCACTTTTTCATCACTGGGCTCGTACTCAGCGACATAAGCCAGGTTCCACACCCGCGCCCCAAGGAGCTTCGGATTTCTCTCGGACACCGGACCCTTCCGCACGAGGAGGATACGAATGCCTGAGGGTGTAGCAGCCGGTACACAGTACGGTGCTATAAATACGCGCAGAGCGCGACCGCCAGCAACTCGAGAGACCTTTTCAGCGGTCAGCTGCTACATTTGGTATCGAGACCTCGTGAAAAATCACGATCCTGAGTCGTCGGTTCAACCCCCACCGATCACGTTCGAGTGGTATTTCGGGTGTGGCGACTCAGAAAGCGAATATCGCACAAACTATAAAAGTAGCTGAACCGACTGGACTGTCTCTGTGCCTGAAAAATCTGCAGACGGCTAGGCGCATGTGAGCCGGCACATGACGTGACGTGGAGTAATTACCCACTGCCCGAGGGTAGGCGAAGGTAGGCACAGGCTGGCGGTATACGAGGCTCTAAGGGCCCGGGACGGTTCCCTTCAAAGGGGGGGGAATGTAGCAGCCGGTACACAGTACGGTGCTATAAATACGCGCAGAGCGCGACCGCCAGCAACTCGAGAGACCTTTTCAGCGGTCAGCTGCTACAGAGGGACAGGTCGCGCGCAAGTCGTGAAGCCTCATGAAGCCTCAGTCGTCGGGGCTGAAAGGTGGGGGGAGGGGACGCTGCTGTGGCCGGGCCACCAGCTTCACAAGCAGCACCGACAACACCGAGGCTTGCTGCCCGACGTCAAGCACATCCTGAGAGGGGCTCTCAGGCACTCATCAGCTACAGTTGATAACGCCGCTAGCCCCTGGACATTTCGTATTTTTATTTAAGAGTCCCCGAAGTCCCCGAAGTTTCACGGGAAGAAAGGTGTTCTTTCTTCTATGATGTAAGTGAGACAGCAGTGGCGGTATGTTGGCGGTATATGTTGGCGGTAATTTTGTGCAGCAGGCTAGCGGGAGATGGGCTAAAAGACGTGACAGTGAGGTGTAGTGAGCACCAAGAAACGGAAACATGAGGCTAGCGAGGGCCGCAGGAAAGCATCTGAACGGCTGAATGCTAGAAAGAAAGGGTTGTGCGAAGGCAGTCTCCGAGGGGTCGGCTTCGAAGAAGCTGACTACCCCAGTTTACTTTATATATTGTGTATAAACTATTACATAGTAATACTATTGCTATTCATTTCATTTCCCGGTACTAGTGGACGGTCCCTCATTACATATACAACTTGTTCAATAATTATTATGTCGCTTTTTCTACATGTTTGTAAGTAGTAAAGGTGAGCCAAGTTTCTGTGTCATTTGATGTTAGTTAATTACATTCTCTGAATCAAAAATAATAGCTGAAACCCTAGTTTTCCTAACCTATATATTTCACTCGGCTGTACGTACAGCGCTTGCTTCTACATGTACAGCAGTCAACAGCACCCGGTGTGCAGTTTCTCGCCAGCGTCCCCTCCGAGTATCTCCTCCGAGCTGTACGAACACGCGGAAACCAGCTGAACATATAGATGGGCACTCAGCAGCAATTAGTCCTGCAGCATATCCAGCGGCATATCCTAGAACGATGTTTCTTTCTAGAGCACGGCTTTCAAGAGCACGGCACGGATTTTTCAAGAACACAAATGGAAAAAAGGCGCGTTTAGACCCACATCCATCCATCCATCCATCCATCCATCCATCCATACATACATCCACCCATCGCCCTCTGTACGCCTCCTTCCTTTCTCCATCCTCTCTACTCCTTTGCCGTCTTCCCCGGGTTCCCGGGTTCCCTCTCCTGCCCCCATCGCCCGCCCTTTCATCGTTTTCCGCTACCGGACTACGACTTGGTCGTTCACTCGGTCGTTCCTATCCAGGATTCATCGACGAAAAGAGAAAGAAAATTCTTCCAAATTCTTTTTTCTTCTTCTTGCACAAGTGAACGGTGCGAGCGGTGTCAATCATCGAAAATATCGAAACAGTAGCAGTAGCAGCAGCAGCAGCAGCAGAAAGAAGGAGAAGAGGCAGTTGTATCAAAAGGTCATCACACAAGGAACGGCACACAACTAAAACTTTAAAACTTTGAAACCACTTCCTGAAACCGCTTCCTCCCCCTTCAATTAAATCCCAACATACGAAAGCCAACAAAGCCAACAAATGCTTTGTTACACAGCATTAAGAGCAAACCAATAAGAAGCGACTTTAAGCACAAACGATTGCACGGCGGCAACGCGCCATCTATGCAGCAATCCCTGGCCCCGAAATTCTTCAGTGCCTCCCCCCCCCCCTTTCAGCTCCACACCCTTCCGGCTCCCCACACCGTAAGCGCAGCGGCAGCCATGTGGATGACAGCTAGGAGTGCCCGTCACAGGTAAACAGCACAAACGTATCCCCTCTCTATCCAACGTATTGATACGGAGTACGAGATACGGTATACGGAGTACGGGATACGGTATACGGAGTACGGGAATGGTTACATAGAAAGTAGGACTGTTCTCTCCAAGCGCGCTTTCTCTTTCACTCTCCCTCCCTCTCTCCCCCTCCCTCTCATGCACGCAAGCCGGCTACGAAAGTAGCTAGGACGTGGATTTCAAGACTGCGCCGTCGCTCTAATACAACCTCTGGTGCAAATGATAGCTGTATGAAGGTGTGTTAGCTGCCGCCGACCGTCATTCGTCCTGTAGTAGGGTTGTAGATGACGCGGGCCATGAGATTGCTGCTGCAGCGGCGGCGGCGGCGGCGGCGGCGGCCGCTGTTAGAGCTGCGGTTGCTGCTGATTGTGGTGGTAGAGAGGGTGGTGCTGCTGTTGGTGCTGCTGGTGCTGCTGCTGGTGCTGTTGGTGCTGTTGGTGCTGTGCTGCCATTGCCGCTACCATAGCTGCGGCCGCGGCGGCAAGCACGCTCGCTGCACCTTGTGTAGACGGTGGCGGTGGCGGCTGCTGCTGATGATGATCATGCGTGCCAACGGCGTTGTTGAGGCCCTGTGGTGGTGGCGGCGGCGGCGGCGGCGGCTGCACCCCTGCCGCCGCTGCCTGCGGCGGCGGCGCCGTAGACGGAAGGTTCAGTGGCGGCGGCGGCGGCGGCGGCACTACGACCAGCGGCGATTCAGGTTTTGACACCTGAGCTGCAGTGCGGCTGTCGTACTGTACTGAGCCGCCGGCAGCTCCGCCGCTACCGTCAACAGAAATTCTCTGGTTAACTCCCACAGCTAACCCGCCACTCGGGCCGGCACAGGGGCGATATACGCGTATCATGTCGTACTCCTGCGCTGTACTGCCAAAGGCGACGGGCCCGCCGCTGGCATAGGCAGGTGGTGGCGGCGGCGGCGGCGCCGCCGCCGTCGGGCGGCTGAACTGAGTCCCAAGCTCCGACATGACCCTGGCGGCGACGGCGGCAAGCGCCGAGGCTGCAGCGGTCTCGTTCGCTGACGGCTGCTGCGGCTGCTGCTGCTGCTGCTGCTGCTGCTGCTGGGGGCCTGTGGCTGGCGACCTAAACTCCGGCAGCAGGGAGCCGTTGCCGATAGCGGCTGGCGGCGGCGGCGGCGGCGGCGGCGGCAGCGGAGCTGACCCTAGAACGTGGACCGGCGGCGGCGGTGGCGGCGGCGGCCCCGCCTTCCCTGGGGGTCCAGCCGTGTCCGGAGACGGCGGCGCCGCCGCGGCCACGGACGCCGGCGGCACGGGAAAGGACGATGCGGGCGATGGCATCGGCATCAGCGGCGACATCACGCCGCTGCCGCCGGGGTACGGCGGACCCTCCCCGTTGGCGAACGATAACGGCAGCGGGAAATGCGGATGTGGCGGCGGCGGCGGCGGATGCAGCAGCTGCAAGCCGTGGTGGTACGGCGGCATCGGAGGTGCTGTCGGAGCACCAGGCGGAAGGGCATGTACGGCATGCATGGGTGAAGAGTACGGCCCAGCTGGTGGCAGCGCCGCCGCCGTTGAAGTGGAGGGGCCTGGGCCCAGGGCAACCATCGCATTGCGCCCACCGGCGGCGGCGGTGGCGAACGGCGAGAGCGCCAACACGGGACTGAACAGTACGGCTCTGTACGACATGCCACGCATGTTGATGGTTGCTAAGTAGCCGCTGTTGAACATTCCGTCAATCACTCCCTCGACAACTGTCCCCATCTCGCAGGGAGACGGCGCCATTAAATGAATTGGCGGCATGGCCGCCGGCGGCGGCAACGACGCCGCCAGTGTACGGCCATTCTCGTAGTACGGCATCGCACGGAAAGCCGCCCTGCTCTGTACGACAGCATTCTGAGGCTGCATCTGCTGCTGGTGCTGGTGTTGGAGGTGGTGCTGGTATTGCGGCGGCGGCGGCGGCGGTGGCGGGTTGTGTTGAGGATACACGGCATTCTGCTGCTGCTGCTGATGTTGTTGTTGTTGTTGTTGTTGTTGTACGGGACCTGATTGCGGGTCGTGGAGCTGGTGGTGGTGGTGGTGGTGATCTTCGCAGTAGTGCTGCTGCTGCTGCTGCTGCTGCTGCTGCTGCACGTGACCCGCACGGCCATTGCCGGAGGTTGCGCCGCCTTCCAGAGGTGGCGGTGGTAGCGGCGGCGGCGGCGGCGGCGGC